GGGCCGCCCTCCCTTTCGATCTGCCGGTGGAAGCGGCGGCGAGCGCTAGAGAGACGCTCCGCGGTGCCTCCCTCTGCCTTCCTTCGCCACTTGGTACGTTCCCCCGCTTCACTCCAGGGGATAAATAGGGGCGAGCGCGGCGGCGGCGGCGCCTTGGTGGTCGGCGTTTCTGCGCGCGTGGAGGCGAGTCGTCGTCATCTTCTTCCCGAGGTCATCATCATCATCGTCGTCGTCGTCGTCTTCCCGAACCCGAAGCCTTTCCCCGCGAGCGCGGAGGGCGAAGAAAGCCCGCATTGATGGATCTCCCCGTGCAGACTGAAGTGTGCAAAGCACAGACCTTGGGCGAGCTGATCGAGATCCTGCATCGGTTGTTTTCTGATGATAAAGTCAGCGTGGCCGAAATACAAACTTTAATGGAATCCTACGAGAGCAATCCGGAGGAGTGGACCAGATTCGCCCAATTTGACCAGTTCAGGTAAAATCGGCGAGCGAGCCCAATCGGCGGGGTCGTCTGAACTCGCGCGCGCAGAAAGTTGATTGCTGTAGGAGAAAGCAGGTTCCGGGGCAGGGCGCCCCTTTAGGAATGAGGGGGTCAACTTAATACCCCGCAGGGTGTCTCCCCCCCTTTCTTTCTTTCTTTCTTTCTTTCTTTCTTTCTTTCTTTCTTTCTTTCTTTCTTTCTTTCTTTCTTTCTTTCTGTCTCACTCACTCACTCACTCACTCAGACCGCTTTGGGCTTATCAGCCTTTCGGAGAACTGCAGTGATACCGGGAATTTCTGTTCTATCAAGAAAGCGGCTCCTTTTTGGTAGCTTGGAGACAGGTGATTTCGCCTTGAGCAACGGCTCTTTGTTGCTACTGTTCTTAAAGTTTGGGGAAAGAGGGCCGTTGGCTCGGCGGTTTCGGGCTCCGGGGCTCTTTAAAGAGGAACAACAGCGCGTCTCGGAGCCAGCTCGGGGCTCAGAAGCTCAAGCTCAGCGTCCGTAGAAAAGGTTCTGGCGAGACTCCAGGCTGGCAGCAGAAACCTTCCCTCCGCGCAGCAGGCTTTCCGGGGTACCAGCGATGTCTCCAAGTTCAGTTCAAGGTGCCCCTGCCGAGGCTCAGAGCAGGCACGGGAAGATCGGGTTCTTATCTCCTGATAAGAATTCTTTTGGGCTTTTGCCCTGCTTCAAAGACACTTGCCTTCCACCCTGTTTGTTCATAGGTTGTTTTTTTTAGGTGTCAGGTTTGGAGAGTTTCAAAAAGTGATTTCTTTGGTCTACACACTATCTAGCGGTTGTGCTGCCCATCTTCTTAGAGGGGATCAGGGGGTTGAATAGCCCCTTCAAATGTTGAAGATGTGTTGCATGTTTGGTTTTTGTTGCAATGGCAGGTTGTTGTTTTTTTTAAATCCCAGCGATTTGTTTTCAGATGTGTTCTAGCTTGTGAGGAATGTATTTGCAATGGAATTTGGAGCAAGAACAATGATGTCTGTTGGAAAAAAAAACTGGAGATGCCTAAAAATAGCAAGCCAAAGAAGGAATAGCTCTGTTTTGGAAAGTGGCTTTAATGTGGGACCTGCTCTAAGTTTTATAAGCTTGTATCTCCCATTAATTACAGAACTGTAACCTTTTTTGTTTTTTTCTCAGAGGTCACATTGATAGGCCATACTGTTGAGTAATGGGTAGTTCCAAAATCTAAGCAGTGATTGGTGCTGTATAGCTCTGTCACTGCAAAAACGGCTGAATTCTCTCTGCAGTTCGATCTGCTGGACTGTAATCAGCAATCGTACTGTACTACTGCTCGGCAGTAGTATGTATGAAGAGAAGCTAGGATCTTATGTAGACACAAGCTCACGTGTGTTAACCCTATGGTGAGCTAGCACGGAAAAAGGTAAAACAGTTTTAGACTGCATAAACCATTGCATAGGGTCCAGGTCAGGGGAAGTAATAGCATCATTCTGTTCTGGGTGGGACAACACCTGGAGTGATGTCCAGTTCTTGGCACCACAAATTGAAGAAGGTATCAGCAAGCTGGAATGTATCCAGAAGAAGGCAACCAAGATGGTAAAAAGTGGGGTTTATGAGGAACAGTTGAGCAAGTTGGGTATGTTTAGGCTTGGGAAGAGAAGATTGAGAGATGATACAATAACCATCTTCAAATATTTGAAAGACCATCACACAGCAGAGGGAGCAAGCTTGATTTCTGTAGCTCCAGAGATAGGACTTGAACTAATGGATTCAAATTAGAAGAAAAGAGAGTTAAACTAAACAATGGCACAAATTTCCTGACAGCAAAAACTGTTCAAGAGTAGAAAAGACTGCCTTGGAAACTTCCTCTGTCGGAACTTTTTCATTAGTTGGCTGATTGTCAGGGATGTTTTAGTTCTTAATTTCATGCATTGATTGCAGTTAGACTAGATGACCTATGAGGTCAGTTCCAACTCTGTACTGTACTTGCATAGAAAGGATTTCTGTAAGCAGGCTGAAAGTCGGCAGTGGGGATGCCATACAACCCAACAGAACAGCCTAAATGAGAGTGGGTTTAAGGGATTATTGCAGTAGTAAGACCTCACAGCCACCAGAAGCATTTCTCACCGTGAGAAGCATTTAGCTGACCAAATATTTTTAATTGGGATTTACCCAAGTGCATGGAATATAATAGCCACTTCCAGAAGCATACTTTATAGATAAAAGTTCATCCTGATTTTCTCAGAGTTTGTCTCTTAGACAAAAAAATGGGCAAGTTATAAATATAATACAGTACAGAATGCATAATTCAACTCTTACTCCATCTTTCTAGCTGAATATGATGGAGGATGAGCTCAAATGACAAATAAACAACAACAGCATAATTAAACATTGTTATTCAGTGGCTGAAATCCTGTTGCATAGTGCGGTGAGTCGCACTAGAGAAGGGCCATGGAATCAGTGAGGATTTGGTCAGTGAACTCCTCTGTAAATTCCATTGATTCAGATAGGCCTACTCTAATTGTAACTCAGATGATCAACAACAAGAATGATAACGTATGGGTCTGGATGACCAAGTGACCATTTACACTTCTGTAGCCCTTAACTAATTGATGGGTAAAGCATTTGCAACATCTTGGTGCACAGCAAGAATAAAATTGCGCAGCAATTTACATAGCATGCTTAGTTTAGAGCAATTCTCCCTGGCATAGTGTCCCCAGATTTTCTTTGCCTCTACAACTCCAGTCATTCTTGCTTAGCATAGCCAAGGGTAAAGGGTATGACAGTGGAGATGGTGACTCTTATAGTTCAACACATTTGGAGGACACAAGGTTGGGGCAAGTTTCAGTTATTCAAAGCAGTCATCACGTTACCTTGGTGTTGCTCATTATGGTAACTGAAGCTAATATTAATAGGCAGCCACAAAGATAACTGTGATCATCATGATTAATAATTGATCATTATCGTGGTGACTATATTAATAATAGTTAGAGATGGGCACAAACTACAGTTTGTCGTTTCAGTGTGGTTAGGCAGATTGGGCCCACAGGTGTTGCGTGGGCACCCTGGATTCCTTGCCCCACCTCCTCCTCTTGAGTGGGCACCCATGGAAGGAGATGGGGCAGGGAATCCAGGATGCTTGTGCAAGACCTGTGGGCCTGATCCATCTAACTGTGCGAAAGCATCAAACCGTGGTTTGTGCCCATCTCTAATAAATTATCTTTTGAACAATAGGTTTGCGGCGTGGGATGTGATCATGGCTGGCACTGAGCTACTTATGTGAAGCAATACACCAGTGTCTTTTATAAAGCAAATTTCCAAACTGGTAGCCCACTAATGGTTTATTTACGTATTTATTTATTTACAATATTTTTTAGCCGCACCATTACCAGTGGCTTCTAAATTTTGTAAATTTTGGTTACCAGAGGAGATGAAGTTAAATTCCAGAGGAGATGAAGGAATAGGTGATGTGTGGATTTTGCTGGATTGCGGCTTCCACCATTCACCATCAGTGGCTATGCTGCCTAGAGCTGATTTGTGTGGAGTTAGAGCTATCTTGCAGAATGCATCTGTGCTTCACAGATTCAGTAGTCTGCTGCCACTCTCTCCATCCTGTGGAGTTCTGGGGTTAGTGGTTTGATGAAATATTTAGAATTCTTCACTGTACACATAGTTCAAAGCAGAACTATAGATCTCTCCAGCAGAGAATTCTACTTACAGGTGCAATTAGATGACAAGAAAGGATCACATCCGATCACACCAGAGACACTTTGCTGAGAGTGATCGCTTGTAAAGTGACCCTTCTGTTCATACAGGAATCATTCCAGCCCAGCAACCACCCACCCACCCAAAAAATGTCAAACTTAGGCATAGATCGATCGCCTGCCTGTTGTATGATGGGGAAATGGCTTGCACCAGACCGTGCCACAGGTGGTCCAAAATGTGCATCGTTTCCCTGCCTGAGCTCACTCTATGTCACTAAACTACAGATTCTGTAGGCTGGAGGCAAGGCAGTTAAAGTGGCATCAAGTGGTTAGCACTGCATTGTAGAGACACCCAGTTTCCTTTTCTTGGGCTGTTTACCTACTTGCAGCAAAACCCTTAAGACTGAACATGATCAGGATACGCAACTAGAAAAGCAGTTCCCGATAAAGCATCTGTTGTCAGCCACAGCTGAAACACAAAGCAATTCTTATATTTAAATAATGTTGGCTGTGGAAAATAAGGAGGCAGATATTTTCTGTATTCTCTTAGGCTTGCCTGTGCTCTCTCAAATCACAGCTAAGAGTCATGTCCTCTTGTCCCTCCCACTCTTTCCTAGCATCTCTTGGCTCCTCCAAAGTGCCCCACAGTGAAGGAGGTTCAGAGGCAGAGAGCGGGCTGGGACTCAGTGGCCAATCACAGCCACCTTTGAACAACACCCCCAGAGGGTTGGGCCAATGAGAGCTGGCACGAGGGAAATGACCGGCTAAACCACTAAAAGCAAGCGGTGCTTGTTTTGTGCTTCACTCAAAACTGACTGAGAGACATTGGCTCGCTCGGAGGACAAGGACAAGCCGGGGGTGGGGCAGAAAGGAGAGGGGGAACTGCAGCCTGGGAGTCGCTGTCTCTGGGAAGGAAGAGTGCTAGCTCAACCAGCCTCTCCAGCTACCAAAGGATGAATAAAAGTGCATTCTATAGAAAGCTCTGCCCAGCTCTTAAATTAGGTTGCTGAAATCAAGGCAGGTTATGATAAACGTTTTTAAAAATCCCCAGATTCTCCACCACCAGCAGCAGGGAGGGTTCTTGGAGCTCCAGTCCAAAAGCGGAAACATTTTAAAAGCTTTGGACAGAACTAGATGCATGTGTAGGAAGATATCAAGACACGCATTAATTCTGGAGTGAACTTAATTCCTAAATTGAGCAACTTCCTAACTGTTAGAGCAGTATGACAGTGGAACCAGTTACCTCAGGAGTTGGTGGGTGCTCCAACACTGGAGGCATTCAAGAAAAGCTTAGATAATCTCCTGGCAGATATGCTTTGATTGTATTCCTGCATTGAGCAGGGGGTTGGACTTGATGGCCTTGTAGGCCCCTTCCAACTTCACTTTTCTATGATTCTAAGTGTTCAAGGCAGCTTATTTGCTCAGTTCTGTGTGTCTCCTTCCCTTGAGCAACTATTCAACATGAGGTGCCCCACACACATTCCCAGAGTGTTAACTTGTGTTACATAATGTTAGCTGATTAGATAAGAGAAACTTTTCCAGAGATAACAGGAAAATTCCAGTTTACAATCTTGCTTTCCTGTTTGGACTGCACACTAGCCCAAACCTGTAGCTGTGCACCTGCTCATATTTGAGACAAACCACTGTCCAGTAAAACCATTGTAGCAGTGTGTGCTTAACCACATAGGTTTAGAAGGAAGCCTTTGGTTTAAATGCACATTGTTCTATCTGTCAACATTTTATCAAATAAATTCCTAATCTTGGATTCTTGCGCAGCACTTGCCCTTGGTGCTGTAATGTTGCAATCTTATTACTTACATGGGAGTAAGCTGCAGTAAACTCAGTGGAGCTTACCTCTGGGCAAATACATATAAACACTGCCTGTTACACTTCATTTCGTCTTACCTTGTGGCATAAATCCTTTGCAAAGCTCAGTCTTATAAAGAGCCTTTCTCTTTCATAGTTCTTAAAACCAGAAGAATACCAATAATTACTGGCCAAAGGGATTTTCAGTCTTCTTCTTTTAGGTAGTAGACAGTTGTGCTGCATCACAAATGACTCTGGAATTTTACAACAGAGGAAAATGATTTGATTACTCCACAGGGGCTGCGCTTTTATTTATTTTATTTATATAAAACTCTATTTCTACCTTACCTTCCTCCTTAAGCAGGACCCAAGGCAGGGTACATTGTTCAAATACTATATTTAAGGTTAAAAATAGTAAGGACACAAATACTACAAAGGTTCAAACAAATACCACAGTGAAAAACAGTAAACAGAAGCAACATCAAAACACGTTCAAAGACATAAAGCAGAACAATCCTTTTAAAAAAATCCCACTCAGTCCCCAATCACTGATGGAAAGTTTGCCTGAAAAGAAAGGTATTTGGGTGCTTGCAGAAGGACAGCAAAGATGGGACCAGCCTGGCCTCCTGTGGGAGGGAGTTCCAGAATCTGGGAGCAGCAACAGAGAAGGCCCTCTGCCGCGTCCCCATTAGACACACCTGTGAAGGTGGTGGGACTAAAAGAAAGACCTCTCCTGATAATCTTAACACCCGGGCAGATTCATAGTGGGAGATGCAACCTTGAGATAGCTCAGACCCCAGACTGTTTAGGGCTTTAGAGTTTAGGACCAGTATTTTGAATTGTACCTGGAAACAGATTGGCAGCCAGTGGAGCTGCCATATCAAGGGGTTATATCATCCCTGTGACCAGTCCTGTGACCAGGTAGCTAACTATTTCAATATGAAGTAAGTACTAAGTACTCAGTGACTGATCCTGTTGTACTGCTGCTCTGGGACAACAGGAATGATGTCACCGGGAGTGGAAGATGGTCACAAATTAAAGGCTTATTTTTGCAAGTTTGAAGTGTGAATGATCCATACACAATGCGACAAAGTCACATGCTCCTCAAAATTACAAAATGAAGTCTTTGATCAGAAATAATATTATTGCTTATGACATCATTCCCATTATGCAGGCAGAGCGGGCCCAACAGGATTTCAGCCTCTCTGTGTGTGTGAGTGTGTGCGCGTGTATGTGTGTAAAAATGAAGAAACGTAAATCTGCTAACTATGGGATTAAACTCTTGAATCTAAATCCAATTGCTTGGTTTAGCTAGAGTAGATCCACTAAATGACTTGCTAATGGAAATCTCATAGATTCAGTGGGTCTCAATCATCATCATCTTAGAACTGCAAAGCTAAAAAGGGCCGTTTGGATCATTGAGTCCAGGAGGAGGCTCAGTGGGGGATCGAACTCCAAAGCTCTGGGGTGAGTTTGTGGGAGTCAGCTTCTGGACATTGATCTTCATAAATCCACAGTTGGCAGGATAAAGCAAGACAATGTTGTGCGGCACAAGGTGATACAAATGGCACTTGTATCAGGCCCCACTGTGTGTGTTGTCAGGGATAAGATGGAAGTTTCAAAATGATTGATACCACTCTCTTTTCATTTTTTAGAATATATTATTTAAGAGTAATTCATTCATTTATTTTTATTTATCTTCCATGTTTCTCTTCATGAAGGGGCTCAGTGTTGTTGATATGTCTTAAAATGTGTTTTTCCTAATGGAACTTTAAAAGAATATCCTTCTTTTTATTGTTTCAGATACACAAGAAATCTTGTTGATAAAGGAAATGGAAAGTTCAACCTCATGATCTTATGCTGGGGAGAAGGTCATGGCAGGTTTGTGGCTAGAAATACACATATATTTATAAATATATATCTAAAGGCATACCTGAAACCACAGCATGCTGCATTTGTATCAGTTTGACTGAGTGCTGTATGGAAATGGGTCATATTTATAAAAAATTATAAATTAAACAATAATTTAGAAATTATTTCTTTAAGAAGTATGACTTTTATCCAGTGTTTTATCTGGAGTAGACACTTCTTTTATTCTATAGTTTTCAAATTTTAGTATATTTTATTATTTGTTTTAGAGCTGGTCTACGTGAGCTGTTTTGGAGCAGGCTGTTGCAGGCTAAATAGGGTCACCTGAGGTTGGGTAGAGGTCCAGTATGGTGTTTGATGTGGTCCTTGCATCCAAATGGCATGACAGACCTCAAGTGACCCTATTTGGTCTGGCACCTTCCCACTTATAATTTAAAATATCATGAAGTGGCTTAAGAAGAGAGAGATACTTCAGGATATTGGAAAATCAAACAATTCCTCTGCTCCTCCATGGAAGGGTAGAGGACGTAATTTTTAAAAAACTCTATTAGGCCAGCACAGGCGCACTTGCATCACTTGCAAATTTTTAAAAAATTGAAAACTTTCTCCTGTAAGTTGGAGGAGACAGGAAGGGGCAATAAGGGGCATTTCCCCCTTTTCTTTAACTTGTCTTAAAGAAAAGATGGTTGAGAACCTGCCCGCAGCTGCTGATACAGCGCATCAGCATTTCCCTAACAAAGTCTTTTAAAAATTACTTTCTCCACAGACAAGTAGAGGAAATGTTACATTGACAATTTCCTAAAGTGGCTCTCTTCTTACACGATATGTAAAATTGACAACATAAGGATCCTTGACAGTCAAAAGCTCACTTTGATTCACACACACCGGAAGTAACCCAAAATGGAGCGGTTCTACCCACACCTAAAAAGCTGAAGCCCCTGACAGAGACACAGAAAGGTTTAGATAGTAATGCTCTGGGGATGGGCTGGCTTGCTTCAGCAATTATGTCATGTGATTGCTGGAAATAGGAGTGTATCAGCATATCCCTGTCACAGATGAAACAGTGGGCAAAATGCACTCTTAATTACTGCTAGTTTCTCTGAGCAATGTGTAACCACCAGAAGGATGGGTTGCACTTTTGTAAATAATATAACAAATACAAATGTTTATCTACCTGTTCTTGATTTTTGTGGCCAAGCAATGTACAAGCTTTCTTGAGGAGTACTGTTTGTTTTGTGGGAGCTGATAACAGCTACACATAATGTGGTACCTGTTTACTTTTCCACGCTCAGCTCATATACTTATAGCAGATAAGGAGGTGGGGGAAGGAGTGTCATCAGTATGCTCTCACTGGAAAGGAAGTTATCTCTGTAGCTTTCCCCTGGAAGTATTAACTAATTCTGGGGAAATAGGACTTGTAAGAAGACCTTGGTGCTAATCATAATGACAAGCAAATAGCTTGAAATTGCACCCTGATGATAGAGAGGGATTGCAAGCAGCAGTGCCAGTATGCAGCCTTCTGTGGCTAGCAAGAAAAGATGTGTCTGTCTTTGATTTCTAAAAGTCAGGAAAGATGCAGACCTCTCTTCTATCTTATCTAGTTCCGCATTCTCTGAACATGGTAACTGCCCGAGCAAATGTCTCTGGAAAGCTTGTACATCTGACTTGAGTGATGTGCAGGCTTTGTGGAGTGATGTACACCTTCCCATTCATGATACTAATCAGATATACAGAGGCCAACTTCCTCTGCTATAGCCAGGTTCCTTCCAATAGTCACAGAGCTATCAACAAGTAAGCAACAGTCATGCACTGTTCTAATCTCCTCACAGGAGTTGGACTCTGATCTTATGCAAGGCTTTTCCTGTTCAGTGGGACAATCTGTGTGGTGGAAATTGGTGAATCATCAGGGAATAGCCACTGAAAAGGAGGCTGGGCTTGTGTTATACATATACAGTGGTGCCTCGCAAGACGATTGTCTCGCGGGACGATTAATCTGCAAGATTATTAGTTTTTGCGATCTGCTGTTGTGCTCCGAAAGACAGTTTTTCCTATGGATGATTTTCGCAAGACGATGTTTGGGTCTATGCTTCGCAAGATGATTTTTTAAAGAGATGCTTTTTCGTAAGACAATGTTTTTCTATGATATTTTAAAAGTTTTTTTATTTGACTTTGTTCTGACTTTTTTTTGCCCATAGAAATACATTAATTAGATCTCAATGCATTTCTATGGGAAACCGCATTTCGCAAGACAATGTTTTCACAATACGTTTTTCGCGGAATGAATTAACATCATCTTGCAAGGCACCATTGTACAAATGTGCATGCACACCTCTGCATATACTGAAAGAGATATTGACTAGGCGGAGCTTCTCAGCATCATCTCTGAGAATGGCAAGTACGGTACATCTTTCTCTGGATGATTCCTCTTGGCCCATCCTTTACATGAACTGTCAGCTGAGGAACATATATTTTCCTCAGTAGTTTAATTCTTTTAAATGCACTGTGTCCTTTTAAGACATCTAAAAACAGGGAGGAGGTGACTTTGGGTTTAGGACAAAAGCCAGCTGATTATTCCTCTGCACAGCCCTGTTTGACAAGGAGGGATTTGTGATTTACACAAGGCCGGCCAGTCAGTAGGAATGAGATTTTCTGATAACTGAGATTACAGATCCCATATTTCTCCATTCAAAGGGTTCTTCCTGACAGTCAGATATCATACAGACAACTAAATGTAGCTCACCTGGGAGCTTTCTTTCTGAACAGGAAGCTAGGCAGAGTTAGGCCTAACTCAGCCACAGAGCCTTCCAGGTGAGGCCTTTCTCCCAGGTGAGCCACATTTATAAAATATCTGTCTCCGAGGTAGAACTCCTAGAATGGAGAAGTATGGGATTTGTAGTCACGTTCAAATTGAATTCTGGATGCAAACTACCTTATCCAGAGACTAGAAGGGGAAGCCATTGCATGTGTATCCAAAATGCTGTGCATGCACCTTCACCGCACATTCTCCACTAAAATTATGTATGTCTGCACAAACAGCACATGATGATGATGCATGTGTCCACTGAGCTGCTAACATATTTTCCCCCAATTAATTCATTTGTACACATATATCCTATGACTATAGCCTGGTGCATTTCCCTCAACAGCTGAGAACTATATTGAGATTAGTAACCTGTCATTATGTAATCCAAATATATTTCTATTGTCTTCATAGGTTATGCATTTATGGAGCTGATAGCTTTTCTAGTTTTGTTGTCGTTTTTGTTGTTATAAACTACATAAATGCTGAAGTCCTATTCATGCAACGATGCCTCTGGAAAGTCTATACAGTCATGTGAAAAAGAAAGTACACCTCTTTGAAATCTATGGCTTTACATATCAGGACATAATAAAAATTGTCAGGTTCTTAGCAATCTGAAGATTAGGTAAATTTTCGGCAGCTGCCCCCAGACTATGGAATGCCCTCCCGACTGAGATTCGTCTGGCGCAAACATACACTTTGATGACACAGGCAAGGTGCAGTCCAAAGGCATAAGTCTAGCCGCCTAGAGTGGTCGCAATGACCAGATAGGTGGGGCATATATTAAATTAAATTAAATTAAAATAAATAAATAAATACAACCTCAGATGATCAACAACACATGAGATCTTACATTGTGTCATGATTTATTTAACAAAAATAAAACCAAAATGGAGAAGCTGTGTGTGGAAAACTAAGTACAGAATCAAGAGCCTTTAATTCGAAGAGGGTGTACTTTCTATTCTCATGACTGTACATATGGCTTGAGTACAATAGCACCTTCTCCTTATGCTGTTGTAGTTGCACAAGTGGAATTTCATCCATAAAATCTGCATGTCGTGTTATTTTCAGCCTCTACAGAACAGAGCTCTTAAAGTGTAAATCCCCTCTATTAGAGCAAGCTGCTGCACTTGGTGACTTTCTTCATTGTATTTCTTGTACAATGGTAGCAGTTTTTTCATTGCTCTGAACACTCCGTGTGATAGTTCTAGGATCATTCTGCTGCCTTTGTCTTTAAAATAGTATCTGTGAGGTGACAGGGATTTTAACTCTCTCTTTTTTGATACAAAATCAGTGACTTGAACCCATTAATATCTGTTCCAAAAATCCTTGGTAATTCTGCAGAACAGAGAGCATCCATTCTTTGCGTTCAGTAGTTTCTCTGCTACTGGAAAATTAGAGATTGTTTTTCATCAGGGAAAGAAATGTGTGCTGAACTGCATCTGGCACCAATTCTGATCACACAGATCCTTGCTCTGTGCCCTTGTGATATGATGCTTAAAGGCTCTAAGGACTGCGAGAGGTGAGATTCTTCTCACTCTACAGTTCATTCCTTCAGTTAAATAAGAGATGAATAAAACTCTGCCTTCTTTTTTGTTGTTTGGTTTATGAATGATAATATGGCTTGTTGCAACAAACTGTGCTTTAAGATAATCAGAATTGCTAATTTAATCATGGAAAGAAACTATGTTTAGTTTAAGCAAAGGATGGGCAACTTCCAGACATTCTAGCACTGTATCTGCCTGCCTTACGCCCTAGAGGGCTACCCCAACTCTACCTCCATGCATAAAAATATTTTATTGTGTTCCCTCCCCCCCCCATCAGTAGAGCCTTTTGGAGGGGGAGGGGTTTGTGGTTTTGCTCTAATCCCCCTCGCCATGACCTGATCGAGACCTATATGGACCGTGAAAAATGTTTTGAAAAAGCCTGTGTCCTTGATTGGTGCCTAAAGCAGATGGAGTGAAGACTGAAAAAGACCTAAGGGGGCTGGGACACTTGTTTTTAAATTGAGGGGCACGAGAGACTTGGTAGCCACACTTTGCTCGTCTCTGCTTTAAGCTGCAAAGTGGACGCTTTCAGTCTCCTTTTTGCTGCCATACCAGAGGAGACAGAGGAAGCCATGTGAGCTAAAAGCCCATTTCCATACTTTGGTTTGGCACAGCAATCCTCATTTGCCCATTTTTAGTTCAGTTTCATTTCAGTCCACTTTCTCTGCTGAACAGCATTTGTAGCTCCTGCCAAGTATGTTGTGGTTTGAAACTTTAGATGAGCTGCTGCTTTTAAAATAAAAGACTTGCAGCTTGTTCTCATTCATTGCACAAGCAGGACCAAATAGCCAAGGATTCCACTGGAGCTGCGTGGGAAGCAACTACGTGGCATTTCTTTCAGCTGCAAAATATTGTTAACGAACAAACAAACAAAAAACCACTGGCGCATATACTTTCATCAGAAAATGAGCAATCCCTTCTAAATCTGTTACTCCCCCTCCCCTGTGGACATCTGAAATGTGAAGTTAATCTATGGAGTGTGTTGCTTCTTTGCTAGAGGTATGAATTCCAAAGCCAAATACTTTCAGAAATACAGCATCAGTTGCCATTTTGAACAGAATTAAGGTCAGGGGGAGACTATGCAGGAGCATAAAACTTTCAAAATAAATTTTTTGGCAAGTATCAAGCAGACTGAATTCAATGCTCATGATACCCTCAAGCAATCTCTGCCAGTTCTAGTGATGGTTGTGAACTAGTAGCACAGTACTAGCCAGCTACCTTCCCCATTTTCCACCCAAAATGACATACTCAGACTTCTTCCTTCCTTCCTTCCTTCCTTCCTTCCTTCCTTCGTTCCTTCCTTCCTTCCTTCCTTCCATGCTTTCAATTCTCTAGCACAACTGCATATCATTGCTCTTCCTTCAATGCACTTTGGTGCATTTATAACACAAAATTTGGTGCATACAGATATGGCATGGAGCTGGAGCAAAAGGATCGGCAATGGACGTGCATCATCTGAACTTGAAAAACGTTTTCGATACAAATGAGGGAAAGCAAGATGACATTTCACTTGTGTGAACACACCCTAACTCTGTCTTGCCTTTAAGATATTGTGCTAATGATTAATTGAACTTTCCAGGACTTTTATCATAGCTGACATCATAGGTGAAAAAGGAAGACCTAAAACTTGCAATCTACATATCAAACAAGCAGCTATAAAAGACAAGAGTAAAGAATAGTTTTAGCAGAGGTAGTCAAGTTAGTCTGTGCTAGCATATCAGGCAAAAACAAAAGAAAAATAAAGAAGATAAACATGTGGCAATTTACAGACAAATTGTTATATTTAATCCACTTTCTGAGACCATCTGCTAATTCACAACAATCATCACTAGAACTGGAAAAGATTAGGGAAGACTTCTTTTTGGGCTCACCTGGCTATCATTGCCCACAGTGGTTCAGACAGTCTGTCACAAGTATTGGAGCTCAATGGCCAGCATTAGGCTTCTAGTGCGTATTCTGTAAGGCATTCAAACTACTAACTTCCTGTATTTTTTATCTTTTCTGTATATATAGTAGCATCCATGATCACACAGATTCACATTGCTTTATGAAGATACTTCAAGGAAATTTAAAAGAAACACTATTTGAATGGCCTGGTAAAAAAGGGGCTGGAGCAATGGTAAAGAAATCAGAAAGGGTTTTGAGAGAAAATCAGTGTGCTTATATTAATGGTAAGTCCTTTTGTTATGGTGTTTCATATATTCCAAAATTAATAAAACTTGGAAGTTTACACTTTCACCTCTTAGACTTAAATATTAGTGCTGAGATTATTGATATGTTTTAGTTTTTTTAAAAAAAAAAATATATAGGCATATGAGACCTTTTCTGTAAATTGTAAATTCACCCCTTTTTACCTTTTCTGTTTCTCTCCTAGCACATTTGACTTCTCTGTTATAAGTAGGATTGTTAACTGCAAGCCAGGCAAATGTCAAGAGTTGGCATGATTGGACATTGTTTTGGCTCCTGTACCTCACTTTCATAAGCCTCTAATTCTTCTTTAATGTCAAAACGGCACTTAGAAAATCGCCCTAAGTTGAACTTAATGGATTGTTTTGAGTTGTTGCAAAACCTTGTGTGCCAGTTGATTTTTTTTATTTAATGTTCTTGCTTTATTTCCTTGTGGAAAGAACTAAGAGTTCAGTTTCTGTCATACTAGAATCTCTGCCATGTTTTCATGCCAAGGCATCCCAGTTTGGAAAGGAATCAAAAAATAAACATTGCGTGTGCACAAATGAATGTGAACATTATTGCCTCTAAAGCCATTTTTAATCCCTTTAACTTTGGCTACAGATGTTATCCACATTCTGGTAAACTCCCAGCTCATCTGGTACAGTGCATTTTATGTGGGCTTGCCTTTTGAAAACAGTACAAAATCAACGGTTGGTCAAGCACAGGGATGAACTGGGAGTTTCAACTATATCATGCCGACACGTTGTCAAGCATGCTATCTCCCAGTCCAGTTTGACTCCCACTTTACAACAGAACTTGGGAACTGATATTTAAAAAGTAAAATATTACTTTTATAGTGCTTAGAAGGCAACCCATTATAGTTGAAAACATATCTTGTTATGTTATGCTACTCATTGCCTTTTACTTATTTTTCCTGTTGGTGTCTTTGTGAAAAGAAAAAAAAGGATTGATAAAGAAAATGGCATGAAACATTATTTATATTATTGCTTATTTGCTTTCCTCCCAGAAATAACAATTTGTAATGCTACTCTTTATAAACTAGAATGTTGTTGTTTATTTATTTATAATTATCTGTGCCACCTAAACAACATATGTTATGGGCTGACTGTAAAAAATGCAGTGTACATGAAATAAATAAAAAAATCTTTACACTGAAATAAAGAAAGCTGCCACCCTGAAAAAGAGGAAGCAAGCAGGAGGTACTGTTGGTACCGGGTAGTGTTGATGAGCACCACTAGAATGAAGAGAGAGGAATATGAAATGGCACAACTGGATTTCTGAGGAAAGCTAGCCATTTAAATAATTTAGAATGAAATGGCAGTGTTAGAATTTGACTTGTATGGTACATAATCTGTGCTCCTATGTGCTGTGTTGTGTAGACTCCATCGGCTTGCATCGTGTGGAGAACCCAAGCCATACAGAAACTGCTGTCAGCCTCCATTTGTACAGCCCACCTTTTGAAGCCTGCCATACCTTTGACCAAAGAACTGGGCACAAGCAAAAAGTGCAAATGACATTCTACAGTCAGTTTGGAGAAAGGACTCCATATGTAAGTAAAAGGAATTGTATTCTGCCTCTGTCCTTTAGCTTTAACTACAAGACTTCTGTGCCAAAGAGCTGGGCCTGAATCCAGTTTTTCATCAGCTCAGCCTTTCCCACCCAAATGCAAAGCAATTGTCATGGTGGTATCCTTCCAGATTGCTAGTCTACATGAAAAAGAAAGAATACAAATCTGCTAACCACAGTTATTTCGCTGCAACGCGTTAAAAGTCTGGCTGAAATATTCTTTGTGTCTTAATTGTCCTTGGAAAGGGATGTGAATTAATGAAACATTGCAATTTGTATAGTGCCCTGTCTTCATTTCTGGAAGGGTTGTGTCATATGATACTGGTGAACATGTTAAACTAACAGTTCTGTTGACATTTTTAATCAGTTTTTAAATAAAAGCCTTCAAAGCAGCAATTTTATGAACCTGCTTAAGTGCCTTATCTTTTCAACGGTCAAACTGCTGTTGCTATCAGCAGATATCTCCCAAAGGTTAGACAGAATTTGCTTCCCTGAATTTTCTGCCCAGTGGCTCTAGCCATGTCTTCTGGAGCACCAGAAAACATGCCTGACTTCCTGAAAGGCCCTTTTTCGGCTTTTGAAGTGGCTGCTGGTAAACTGGGCAAGGAACTTTAGTTTGCCTTAACTCTTTTGTGCTCTATGGATAGCAGGTCTTGCATTCGTTCTGCTCTGTTCCGAAATCATTTTATAGATCCTGCTTGTGTTATATCATTTGTAATCCCCCTGGAAGTGCTGGACCAACAAGTACCCGTTAGTACATTCAGCAATTTAAGAGAAGAAAATTCCAAACCCTTCTCTCCCTCAGCTATGTATGACAAAGGTTTGGATTGCATGACCAATTAATCATCAGAGAATTCTTGAGTGAAAGTCATGAAAACAGATCACTTATCTTTATGTCATTCGTGTGATTTGTTTCCATTTTGTTCTACAGATATATTTGTAGTAATAATGGGAATGTCCTGATATTTAAAATTGTCTCTCTTTTTCCCTAGGCACCTTCAATTTCACAAGAGAACAACTGAGAAGCCCAAAGGCTACTGGTTTTTATTCTTTTAAATGGGACCAGATGGATTGTACGGTCAGTGTCAGATAGGCAAGGGAGTTTCAGATTTTTTTTTCCACTTCAACTACCACACCATGAGGATTTCCTCCAGCTAGAATAAAAAAATCCAGGTCCTTAGAGGAGTGTCAGTACCCACTGAGGCCCAGCATGTGCTTCTTTGCAGCCATGACAAAAGGAAAGAAGAGGTGGGACTTGCTAAGCCCCATGGGAACAAGGGGCGGTGCACTTAGTTTTTGGGAGTCACAGTGTACTGAACCTAATGAGCAGAGAGACTACCAATCCCACAACCCTTTGTAGTTCCCATGGAATTTAGCAGCTCCAATTTACTCTAGCCTTTTGCAATGGCTGCAGAGACAAACATGATGGGCCTCAGATATGTCTACTCATACTCCTCTGAGGACTTGGAAGTTGTTGGCTACTGGTGCCAGAATTTTAGCTGGGGGAAATTCCTTGTAAATTGTAGTTGTGGTGAAACAAAATCTGAAATCTCAATGTCTAGTGCTGGAATCATGGTATGTCTGAGTAATCTTTGCTTAAGACTACCTGCCATAGGAATCTCCATGATTATGTAGTTATGAATGATTTCTTGTTGTTGTTGTTTGTTGTTGTTGTTGTTGTTTTGAACAGTAAAGCAAGGAGTCCCTGGGACTGCTACAGAATTGAGATGATTCTCATGTCCTTTTGTTGGATTTTTTGCTTCTTATGAATTCCACATTTGAGATTAGAGACAGAGAAATTCATCATTTGTTCTTTGTGACTTGATTCTTAGCAGCTGTGTCTCTATGAATGTATGCCAGTATAACTCCTTGTTAGCCTCTGGTTAGCATATTTTCTTTCAAAGCAGAGTTGAGCAAATTGTGGCTCTCTAGGTATTGCTTGACTGCATCTCCCATCAGCCCTAGCCAGTATAAAGCAATGGTGAGGGCTAAAGGCCGTTGCAGTCCAATATCCAGAGGACCAAATTTTATCCACCCCAAAGCTAGGGTGTATAAAAGCCTTGTTTTAGCATGACCTTCATGATCTGTTGCAACTTCTAAATACTTTGTGTATTTTTAAATCTCATGTTCAATACTATTTTTTTAAATAGGAGTAATAACAAATTTCATGTCTGATGTTTTTGTGTTGGAGAAAAAGTCTGTAGACATTGTTAATGATGTTATATCATTAACAACATCATGGTTGTTTTTAAGGTACGTTGTATTGTCAGGATTTACCCAATAACCTGATTAAAATCTAATTTTGGAACAAATTTCAAAAATGTGTTTTTCTCTTTCTCTATACAGTTTATACTAATCTGATAAATTGTGTTGTCTCATTAATGTTTATCCCTGGCAAGTGCAAGAGGCTGGGAAATAAAGTACAGTACAATGGCCAAAATCATGTTTGGTGGGTTCTGCCTTTTGTATAGAATTGCTGCTTAACACTGAGACTTCAGTTTTGCAGACCAAGGTTGTGGTGTTGGCCGCATGGAGTATGCCTCAAAAAGCTCAGTAAGGCTTACTTTTGAGTAGACATGCATCAAACTATGCTGACATTTTCTAAAGTTAGAGGAGTCTATCACTTTCCAGGCCTATTTTCACTTCTTCACTGTTGTGTTCCATTTTCCTACTAACATCAAAGGATAGTCCTGTTGGATATCAGGAGTGTGAAGGAGAGAAAGGGAGTGAGCCGTCTTCCCCAGTCAGAGGAGCAGAAGGAGGAACAGAGTGTGTGGAGGACATATTGGTGGAAGTAGAGGCAGACAATAGGGAGGTACAAAAGCCTAGAGAGGTATGTTTGGCTGATGAGGGAGGGGATGGGCTTGATTTGATTATATGGGAAGATATATCATAAGACGAAAAGGCGGGAAGTTTTAGAGTGGTGAAGAGCAAGCCGGCTGATAAGAAAGATAGATCAGTACAGACAGAATGGAGCATGGGCCAGGAGAGTTTCCTCAAGCTGCTGAAAGAATTTCCGAACTTGCAAGTAGATGCAAGTAGATGGAGGATTACTGCCGGGACCTCCTGATTTCTTCGCGCATGGGCAAGAGGTAGATCCCTTGGAATGGACTGTGTTGGTTTACTCCCGCAATCAGCATGGGGGGAGGAGGGTGATCCGTTCCAGTCCCTCTTTACTCCAGAGTCAGCGGGAAGGGGACTGTGCGAGACACCCCTGTTGTGGGATGGTTTGCGCAGTCAGAACCACACCGATTTGGCCTATGACAGACCGGGAGCGATTTGGGCCAGCCCCCCAGTAAGAAGAAAAGACAAAGAACTAAACACTCGAGTTCGGAGTTATAAGTTGTGACCAGAGTTAAGTTTAATGGATCCTTTTGAGCCAGCTGAGTTGAGTTTTACTAGTAAAACCGATTCTGTTAGAAAAGAACAGCCTCCTGTCCTTTTTCCGCACTATCAACAGAACCGCCCATGGCAGAACCAACCCGTATTCACAAGGAGGAATCCTGCTTTATCAACTTGCTATCAGAACTGTGCTGGATATAAAGGGAAGCAGCATTAGAAGTGCAAAGGCACTTACTGACGAAATTAAAACGAGGTGATATCTTCTTGGTGAGCTGTGTTCCTCTGACATCTACTGGTGTTCTTGCTTCAGAATGTACTCTACAATTTCATATGCTTTTAAGACATTCCTATCAAGCAGTATTCTCACACTTGGCATAAAAAAGTCTCTATTCAGAAATGTATCCTTGATACCTGAAATGTACTACCCTCTTTTAAGTAAGACTCATTACATGGATTGTGGATTGTAGCTGTCTCAGTTGGAGGTGCACATCCCTGAAGACAGTCAAGAATTTTATTTAACTGCCACGGGTTGGGAGTTCGATTCCCTGTGCCTCCCAGAAGAGCCAGCCTGTGAGGCCTTGGGCAAGCTGCACAGTCCCAGGAAGCCCCCAGAAGAAGGGAACGATAAACTACTTCTGTATATTTCTGCCTAGAACACCCTGACACTAAGTCAGAATTCATTTGGCAACACATGATGATTATTACTGGTACTTACTAACAGCTTCTGTAACTTTCCACCAAGGGCAGCCGGTAAAGATTAAAGAGACGGTGATTTTACTAGTGTCTGCTGTTTGACTGATGCTTGTTTGCTTTTCTCTAACCTATTACCGTTTCCTAAGGAATGGCACACCTACTGGTGGAGAATGAATTTTATGCCTTCTGTCAGCAGATAAAAATGCATAATGAGATACTCTTATCAGCAAACACTCATCCCTAGCACTTGATTGGAGAAATAGAATTGCATTACCTGGAGGTTAGTGAAGTACCGTAGATTCACACAGGCTCATACTCCGCTTAAACTAAAAGCTTCATCCAGAACAGCATGAATACATGGTATGCACGCTGTTCATTTACTGACTCTTTTATGTTATTTTTGTGCCTCTCCCAAGCCTTGGAGAAAGTTGTTTGTTCTGCTAGGGTGTAACCTTTCCAAGGTTGAAAGATGCTGTTTGCTTTTGATCATTCTTGGGTATGAGATTCTCTTTTTTTATTGCTTGTTTTTCATTCATGAAATGCTACTGAATGTTCCAGATTCAGTAGCATGTCATGAAAGTCCTTGTCTTAAAGAATCAAATTTATTCTAAAGTAGATTCCTCCACTTAAATGAATTAGAAAGCTGAAAATGAGGATCTACACTCCAGCCCTCTGGGAGGTTGTCAGAAACTTAAAGCAATGGAGGGCCACTGTGACAAGGTCCTTCTCTGGCCGGGGGCACACTGGTGGTAAAGGCGGGAAAAAGATGCGGAGGCTGATCGTGAACTTCCACATCAATATTTTTATTTGTACCAGAACTTAATTCAACGGCATCAAAAGAGTCCAATAAGCAGTCATCCATCAACAACTTGTATTTTTTGGGTCTTACAACTGGAGGTCTCCCTGACTCCCCTAAAAGGGAGCCGGCCCAAAGCGCCCCCGATCCGTCAAGGGCCCATACTGTCCCGCAGCACAGGTGCCTGGCCCAATCGCCCTCTGGGGGCTTCTGTTGGAATGAAGGCCCAGGACGAATTACTCTCCGACCACCAGGGTGGTTCCTGGGTACACCACCACCGTCCATTCTAGGGGGTCGTACCCTCTCCATCTTCCTCCAGGCAACAACGGGTCCGGCAACAATCCCCCTCCCAGTTGTAAATTAGGGAAATCTTTCATGATACCAGGTGTTTCTCCGGCGTAGAGCATGGGCTCTGTTTGGACCCCTCTATCCACGAACCTTCCCAACTCTCACTCTCTTTTATATCCTCCCATAAAATGAGGTCTAGCTCCGCCCCTCCCTCGTCAGCTAGACACACTTCAGTAGGTTTTCCTGTTACTCCTTCCGCTTGATCTATTTCAATTAATATCCCCTCCACACAACTACTTCCTTCTACGGGGTTCTCCTTCTAGAGGACAGTGCACTTTTCTTCACGTCTTCACAGCTACTTACAGCAAGATTTCTTGGACTACAATTCCCAGAATATCCAGCCCACATAAGAGGTGGTGGGAGTCATAATCTAAAACCTAACTATTCTGAGCTCTTGGCTGTGGGCCTCCAGATGTTGGACTGCAACTCTTAGCTCTGATGGCATAACCAGTGGCAAGAGGTGATGTGTGTGGTGCTGACAACATCTAAGGGGCCGTTGATTATCCAGTCCTGACTTATAGTAGGTGTGGGCTGCATGTGTCCCACAGGAAAATTCTGGTGGCTCTCTCCCATACCGTACCATGCTTCCTCCCATTAAAAATATTTAAGGCCTAAAATCTGAAGTCAAATTAGGATGCTGTTCCATACTCTGGGGAGGACAATTTGGGCCATCCCAAAGTTGTTGGACTTCAGCTCCCAGCATGCTTCATCACATGCTACATTGGCTAGTGCTGGTGGGAGCTCCAGTCCACTGTATTTAGGAAGGCCATGAGTTGTTCCTCCCCTGAATGGCAATTACTGCCCGCTCTGACTAACGTCACAAAAAGCAATCCCATTAAGCCGGTTTATGTGATGAGTCTGCCAACAAAGATATGAGTAGCACTCCCTACCTGAACAGCTCTCACAAGTGGGGATATTTTGTGGGGACACATAAATAATTTAAATGTACACATGGAGCCATACACATGGAATAGTTTTTATCCCAGAGCTATAATTGCGCTTAATAATGAGGTTAAAGACCACCAGTAGTGAATAGTTAGTTGGACTGTGTTACTTGGCCTGCGGTGTAAATGTTTGTATTTTTTAGTGGGGACTTTTAGTGGGTGGGGAGTGTTGGGGGATTTTTTAGTGGGTGGGGAGTGTTTGGGGGATTTTATGTGTGTGCATGTGTCTGGTCTCTGGGTGTCTGTGAATTTCATTGTATGGGTATACTGTGTATATACTTACAATGACAATAAATAAATAAATAAATAAATAAAATCAGTGACAGAAGGCAGCAGTCACTTGAAAGTACTACCGACAAAGGTAAAAAAGTGCAAGAGCAGATTTACATTTGAATATTAAGACAAAAATCAAGACTATGGAAGAATGCCATACATTTAATGTTGATGATGAAACAAAAACATTGTCAAATATTTTCTGTAACTTGGTTCAATCATCAATCCAAATCGAGACTGCAGCCAAAAAATCAGGAAAAGACTGAGAAGAGTGATCAAGGCTTTCAGATGGTGAACCACACTTACCATTACCTGCATGTGGGGTCTTTCAGATGTATCTTAGACCTCAATAAGACTAAAGGCTGCTTAATTTTAGCAGGATTAGGCCTCTTGGATTCTGAGATATATGAACAAAAATATTGGCATGTGTGGGGGTGTTCATTCTTACTGAAGTGCATTAAGCTATTCATATAAACTAAACTTTAGCCCACTAGATAGTTGAAACCCCCCAATGTCCTGCTCCATATCTGAATCTTTCACCTTTAACAGTACTAAACATGAGAAAAAATATTATATATCTTGCAACCATATTTAAACTACAGTTCCCCTTATCCCTAGTAATTGGAAATCTTGGTTGGGGCTGATACAAGCCAAAGTGCAACAACATATGGAAGACCAGACTAAATTGAAATTCAGTTCTTCAAAAAAATAAAATAAAATTAAATTAAAAAAATAAAAAAATAAAAAAAACCTCTCCAGTTTATGAATGTGAGGTATTGTGCTTCTCTATCCAAAATTTGAAACACCAGGAAATGGCCCAGTGTTATGTAGCAATACCATGCCTATGTTGCCAGCAAGATGAAAAAAAAAGATGCTAAACTTAACATAGCAAAGAGCAGTCTAAATGCTGACAACACCAATGCCAGCAGTCAAGATAGTCTACAGCAGTGGTTCTTAACCTTTGTTACTCGGATGCTTTTGAACTGCAACTCCCAGAAACCCCAGTCAGGACAGCTGGTGGTGTTTATTTATTGAAGACACTGA